GAGGAAGAAGGCGAAGGGCAAGGAGGTAAGAGAGGCGAGCGAAGGAGGAACTCTCCTTTCTTCTCCGAACCGTCTTCCCGCATCTTACCGCTTCCTTTCTGTTGTCTGCTCTTCTTTCCTTATGTCTTCGCAGAGCCTTACGATGAGGAGACGCGAACTGATTCTCCTTGCTCCTTCTTACCACACTCTGCTTCTCTACATCCCCCTGCTTTCTTTATACTCGGTTTGGTGTTCATGTCCTCGGGAGGCCCCCTTAGGGAGGAAGTTGGTGGCCTCCAGAAAGTTGTGGAAGTGTCTGAAGGCGCCTACAAGCCTCCTCGAAGCCCTCGCGAGGCCCGGAGTCCTTTGAGATACGGCAACACTGGTACTCTCTCGCTTCCTCTTCTGTGTCCTTCTTCCTAGTCTTCCTCGTTTCGCTTTCTTTCGCACTCGACTTCCCCCACTCTCTGTCTATGACTTTCTCTTATCCACTTTCACCTATTGCCTCGCTTCAGTCCATGCCCTAGCCTTCACTCCTTTCCAAACCCTTCTGACATGAGCAAGCATCAGGAGAATGAGAGGAGGAGGTGAGAGGGACGAAGAACAGCTCTCTCCGCTACTTTCTCTCATCCGCTTTGACCCCTTCCCTTTCCTAGCTCCATGCGTGCCCTTTGCTAAGAGAAAAACAAGAGAGAAAAGAGGAAGAACAGAGGAGACAGGGGCTTCCGCCCTTTCATTACGTAGCTTTGGCTTACGCTTCTTTCTTGTGAATCGTCCTTCTTCCTTCTGAGTGATAGAGGGAGAAGGACGGGAGGCAGGAAAGCCAGGAGGAGAAGGAATAGGGCAAGCGATTTTATCAAAGCGAACATAATAGGCGGAGAGAAGCGGAAAAGGGAATGTGCAGAAGTAGACGGGAAGGGAGGGAGAGAGAAAGAGGGATCTGGAGAGAACAATGAAAAGGAGGATGGATGAGGTGATGAGAAAGAGTGCCCTTTGCGTGCCCTGAACTCTCCGTTTCTTTCATTTCTCCTTCCTTATGAAGATGAATAGGGCAAGAGAAGAGGAAGAAGGCGAAGGGCAAGGAAGTAAGAGAGGCGAGCGAAGGAGGAATTCTCCTTTCTTCTCCGAACCGTCTTCCCGCATCTTACCGCTTCCTTTCTGTTGTCTGCTCTTCTTTCCTGATGTCTTCGCAGAGCCTTTCCTCCTTCTTATCCTTTTCTTTCCTCTGGTCATTCAAAGAGGAAACGATGAGGAGACGCGAACTGATTCTCCTTGCTCCTTCTTACCACACTCTGCTTCTCTACATCCCCCTGCTTTCTTTATACTCGGTTTGGTGTTCATGTCCTCGGGATGCCCCCTTAGGGAGGAAGTTGGTGGCCTCCAGAAAGTTGTGGAAGTGCCTGAAGGCGCCTACAAGCCTCCTCAAAGCCCTCGCGAGGCCCGGAGTCCTTTGAGATACGGCAACACTGGTACTCTCTCGCTTCCTCTTCTGTGTCCTTCTTCCTAGTCTTCCTCGTTTCCCTTTCTTTCGCACTCGACTTCCCCCACTCTCTGTCTATGACTTTCTCTTATCCACTTTCACCTATTGCCTCGCTTCAGTCCATGCCCTAGCCTTCACTCCTTTCCAACCCCTTCTGACATGAGCAAGCATCAGGAGAATGAGAGGAGGAGGTGAGAGGGACGAAGAACAGCTCTCTCCGCTACTTTCTCTCATCCGCTTTGACCCCTTCCCTTTCCTAGCTCCATGCGTGCCCTGCGCTAAGAGAAAAATAAGAGAGCAAAGAGGAAGAAGAGGAGAATGGGGCTTCCGCCCTTTCAATACGTAGCTTTGGCTTACGCTTCTTCTGGCCACCCCTTGCCCCCTTCTCTTATCTTCCTCTCTCTTCTTCCTCTGCTGGGCTTGAAGCTCTCCCTCGCTCTCTCTGTATCTCTCTTCTTTCTGTCATTTCTCAATCTCGTCCTTTCCCTTGTCCACTTTCCTTCCTGGTTCCCACTTTTCCGCCAGACAAGAAAATCAAAGAAAGGAGAGCGGGCGAGCGGTGGGAGAGGAAGGGCACAAGGTGAGTGAAGAGGAGAACACTTCTTCCTCGTCTCCCTCCACAAGCTCTTCCTGGTTTATCACCAATGAGACAGTGTGATAGGACAAGAACAAAGAATGAATAGACGTGGAGGTCAAGGCACTGTCGGCTGCTTTATGCATCGCCTCCTCTTTCTGTCTCTCTTTTTGATTATCTTTCCCCCTTATTTTCTCTCTTTGTTTCTGTATTTCGTCCCTTATGGCTCTCTCTCCGTTTCTTTTGTCTGTTTTCTTACTCCCTTGTCTTTCTCCTTGTGAGTCTTCCTTCTTCCTTCTGAGTGATAAGGGGAGAAGGACGGGAGGCAGGGAAGCGAGGAGGAGAAGGAACAGGGCAAGCGATGGGACAAAGAGAGTGAGAGAAAGTTGAAGATAAGTATCAAAGCAAGCATAATGTAGTAGGCGAGAGAAGTGGAAAAGTAAATGTGCAGAAGTAGAGAGGAAAGGATGGAGGGAGAGAGAGAGAGAGAGCGAGAGAGAGAGAGAGAGAGAGAGACAGAGAGAGAGAGAGAGAGAGAGCGAGGGGGAGATGGACAACGCAATGAACACGAGGAAGGAGGAGATTATGAGGAACAGTGTCACTTGCTCTCCCTGAGCTCTCCGTTCTTGTCGCTTCTCCTTCTAATTGTGAAGAAGGATAGGAGCAGAGAAAAGAAGGCAAGGGCAAAGAAAGTCAAAGATCCGAGTGAGGGAGGAATCCACCTTCCTTCTCCCAACCATCTTCCTCCATCTTATGTCTTCGCTTCTGTTTTCTATTCCTTCCAGCAAGGGAGCAAGGAAAGAGGGGACAGAAGAGATGTGAGAGCGAGACACGGCAGAGAGGAAGACAGAGCGAGAAAAAGAGAGAGAGAGAGAGAGAGAGAGAGAGGCGGAAGAGAGACAACGCGAGAGGAAATGAAAAAACGAACCACGTCGAGAGGAACTGACGTCGTCCCTTTGCCCTCCCTCGTGTTACCCCTGTCATTGACAACAGAAGGCGACAAGAGAAGAAACAGAAAAAGGATCAATCAAAGGAAGGAGAGAAGGGAGAGACGAGAGAATGAAGAGTTCCCTTCGTCCATCTTCATGCCTATTCCTCTGTCATGACTTCAATTTCTGTGTCTTCTTGACAAACGGCAGAGTGGATAGGCAGGAAGAGGAACGGGAATGAGAGAAAGACACAGGACGAGAAATACACAAGACAGATTCTTGATGGTTCCCGGCGCGAGAGGGACGGGAGGACATTGTGATAGACCCTAAAACCAGCACGGAGAACTTGTGAGAGCGTAAGACCATCTAAATCCTCATAAACTCCAAACCTTAGATCTTCCATAGTATACTGACCCCGGTAAACCATAGTTAGGAGCTGAGACCCTAGACCCTTAAACTCCTGTCGAGACCTTTACACTGTACACGCTTCGGCCTCCCGATGTAACCGTCGTGCCAGACCTTGTCGTCGCCGTGTTGAACCCAGTCGTCGTCGTGCTAGACCGAGTCGTCGTCGTCCTTGTCGCCGTGGTGTTGTTGCAGTTTAAATACAAAGCCCAGCAGGATTGCCAAATAGACCCTAAAGGTCCATGCCACGACGATAGCTTTTTGTAGGGCTCGAAGAGAGAGTCCCATGCAAAGCCGAACAGGCACCCTGAGAGAGAGGGCTTCGAACTCGATCGGTAGACCCTAAAGCTTGGATCCCCCAACCCGAAATCCGAAACTCGAACCCTACTTAGAGGATCATGGGACTTAGTAACTGAGGTTATAACTAAGGTAACTATACTTATAATTGCTTATAACCCCAATTAAGGTACTTATGACCATACTTACTAAGTCCCATGATCCTCCAAGTAAAAACTTAAAGGACCCGAAAGAGCCAACGACTGGCTCTGGCCTGATCCTTCAGCGGGTCCCGAGAGTAGTATTGCTCGTGGTCCCAACCTTGAAGGGTGTAGGGTGTATGGAGCTTGAGCTGGGTTTCAAGTAGTGGGGCTGAGAGGGCTTTGGGGTGAGGGCTTCGGGGTTGCGGGTTTAGGGCAGCAGGGGTTTGGGATTTGGATGTAGGCTCTTTGGGGTACAGGCATGCAGAAGACACCCTGACAGAACCATAACTCCCAACATCCAGAAGTGACTCTAAGCAGGGGCCCTACACAATACCCTAAGACTCCAAGTATACAAATAGTACCTACTTTGGAGTCTAAAGTCTACAAATAGTACCAACTTGGGGCTATTTGGAGTCATAGGGATAGACCATCAGGGTGCAGGGCTCAGGCTTTGGGACTTTGGACTTTGTTGAGATCTTTGAGGTAGCACGAAAGATATACTGCCACCCGAGAAATATTTCACAAGCCCTTACCTCATCCCCCCCAAAGAACTTCCGCAAAACGCTACCCCTAAACCCTTAAACCCCACAGCAAGAACCCACGACGCTTTGCATGCGCTCGATGTTAGGGCCACCTGTAGCATCAACAAGCTTTCTAGTTCATGGTTGGGATAGGATTAAAAACTTCAATCTTTATTCCTATTGGGTTTAAGTACCCGTAAAAATTACAAAATCACAGCTATGAAAAGTTTTTGGGGTCACCAACGTACCGTTGCCTGCAAGAATGTGGGACCGAGGGGAACCGCCCCAGCTCTTCAGGCCCGAGATCAGCCCTTGTGCATTGTGTGGGCATTTGGAATACTTACAGGATCATGTGACTTAGTAGCTATGGTTTTAAGTAAGGTAACTTTACCTCTAACTACTTATAACGCCACTTGCGGTACTTATAGCCTTACTCACTATATAAGCCCCATACATCCCTTATAGTGCCCTTATAGATCCGTTTAAGGATCCCTTTAAGGAGCCTTACTTATTAATTTTAACTCTCATGACCCTCCAAGTACCCAGCACAGACCAGCCCAGACTCCTTTTTCCTCCACAACGCAATCGGGCGACGGCAATGAAATCGGCACCATCGCCCCAACTAGGACGTTATCATGTAGCCAAGTGACCGTCCATCAGGAACTCCAAATCCCCTCCATTGAATTGCTCAAGCAACAACTGCGCGATCTCAGCATGCCCGTGTTGGGATGCGAGATCCCAAGCCGTCGCGCCATCGGACTGCACAGCCGTTGGGTCCTTACAGCTTCAGGGCTTCAGGGAGGGAGGTTGCTTACTGGGATTTGATACGGGTTGTTTCCCGAGGGCTAACAGACCCTATAGCCAAACCCTTATGAGGCTTCGGGCTGAAGGGCTCAGGATCGAAGGGGTGATGTGAAAGGCCTAGGGCTCGAGAGACCTGTCGGGTATCATGGGGAACTAAAGGTTAACCTTTTTGGTGTTATAGGGATTATATAGGGACTATAGAAACCCCAAAAAGGTTAAAGGTTCCCTACTCTACTACTAGGTAATTAGGTTTCGAAAGCTCAGGATTAAAGGTTTAAGCCTGGGACCAGAGTGCAGCCGTCTGCTTGAAGATGCTAGGAATGGGAGTTTTATTTATAGAGGAACCTGTCACCAACAAACCAACAAGCCTTTCGGGTAGAGTTTCCGTTTAGGTTTCCCCCACGAGTGCTGCAAGAGGCGTATGTGAGTTTTAAGTCCTTGGGCCCGTTTTTCTTCGCCTCCCCCTAAACCCCAAACCTTCAACCCTAGCTCCCCTAAACCTTAAACCCTGAGCCCCCCTAAACCTTAACCCTAAACCCTCACCCCTCCGCCGAAAGCCGCCAGGTCGAGACTCCAGCTGAAGGCGACTTTTAGGGGCTTCCTTAAGGGCCTCAAAAAAAGGGGCCTTAGCAAGTAGAATAGGGCTCCTTTAAAGGGGTCCATACGGGCTACTATAAGGGATCAGCAAGGGTACTATCATGTAGGGGGCCTTTTCTCACTAGAACAAGGTTTTGGGGGTTTCTGACTATAACTATAGCATGATAAATAATCTACCCCAAAACCCTGTTCTAATTATCAAGGCCCCTACATTAAGCAGGGTCTTGTCAGGATCCTCATAAGAGTTCCCTGTCAGGGGGGGTTGCAACACTGTGAAGGTTACTATCAGGATGTTTGTTCTAGGGCAACAGTTCAGGGTTAGACGTTTTATCAAGGTCTCCAAGTCGAGTCCAGAGCCCGCATACGAAGATAGGTAGGTTTGAAATTCAATCCGGTTCGGTGGTTTGCGATCTTGGTCGGCGTTCAAGGCTTGGGGCATGTGCTTTCGTTTCTCGGGGCTCGGGTTGTTTTCTGACTCCAGGTCCCCAAGTATCGAATACTCACCTACTCCCCTGACTACTTAGAGGATCATGGGGCCTAGTAACTAAGGTTATAATTAAGGCAACTAGACTTATAATTGCTTATAACCCCAATTAAGGTACTTATAACCTTACTTACTAAGTCCCATGATCCTCCAAGTAGGCCTACATCTGGCCCAACCACAAACCCGCATCCCTTCAACTCTCACCAACAAAGTTGAATTGATCCCATTCTGAAACCCCGGGCCCTGCCGAAGGAACCCCACTCTTTTTTATGGCTACCCTCACGAAACCCATATGCGGAGCCCTTTACGAGAGGGTTTGGGATGGAGTACCAGAGACTCCAATACCCCTTCACTAAGGAGTATACCTTAAACTATAATAGGATCCCTAATATGATTTAAGGAATATTCCTCAATTAAGGGATATTGGAGTCTCTGGGGAGCCTTTACCCCAACTGGCATTATAAGTATAGTTACCTTAATCGTAACCCTAGTTACTAAGTCCCATGACCCTTTAAGTTTGGGATTCAGGAGCACTTAAAGGATCATGGGACTTAGTAACTTCGTAAGTAAGATTATGTGTACCTTAATTGGGGTTATAACCCTTAGTTACTAAGTCCCATGATCCCCTAAGCATCTTCATGCAACCAAAGGGACCGCGCGTCCTTGCAGCAGCAGGCGCGCCACCTCTAGAGTCTCCGAGCCCGAAGATTCCGCTGCTTTTCTGGGCTCTTGTTACGGGATTATTTAAGTTATCATAATAAGGAACCATACTATGAAGCTTAAAGGGTCATGGGACTTAGTAACTAGGGTTATATATAGAGTAACTATACTTATAATCCCCTTTAAGGTACTTATAACCTTACGAAGTCCCATGATCCTACAAGTAAGGGAGTACTTAACTTACCTTTGGTTAGTAGGGAATGGAAGATAGTAATAGTAGTTTTAATTGTACCCCCGGGGTTCTTGTTACTTAAAGGGTCATGGGACTTTAGTAGCTAGGGTTATAATTAGAGTAACTATAGTTATAATCCCCTTTAAGGTACTTATAACCTTACTTACGAAGTCCCATGATCCTCCAAGTAAGGGATTACTTAACTTACCTTTGGTTAGTAGGGAATGGAAGAATGGTAGTAATAGCAGTTATGATTGTACCATTCCTCCATTCCCTGCTAACCAAACGTAAGTTAACTGATGATAGATCCCAGTTATGGTAACTTAAGCTAGAGCCCTTAATTAACAATAACCCAGTTTTAAGGCAGGAGGCTTTTGGCAATTGTTGGTGGGCTCATCAAAGAGAGGCTAGCATGCTGATTGTGGCAACTTTTGGTTTACTTCAGGCCACAGCGGTTCAACTACAAAATTTGCAGCGACCTTCGTGTCGAACTTGGGTGTAAACGTGATGGGGCAAGCCCTTGAAGATTTAGGTCTAGGGTTTTCAGCTGTAGGACAAGTTGTGGAAATTTCTTTCGACTAGGTGGTAGGGTGTAAGATCTGAGGCTTCTCATGGCTGCACAAGGGCCGTAAACCTAAGAGCTTCCAAAACACACCGCCAGAAATCGCCCTGAACCTGTCCACTCCCAAACACATGAATCCTGAATATTACAAGGAGGACTAATAATGATCCAGCTATCTCGTGCAAAGAATGGGCTTGGCAGTCTCCATGTAACCGTACCCTTGATGGGAGGCCAAAAGGGGGGTTTAAGATTCTTGGGGTAGGGATTCCTTAATCTGAACCCCGAAACCCCCATAGGCTAAAACCCCTTTTGGCCTCCTATGTACCCTGAAGCTCTTCCGAACTCAGACCATTGAGTTCATAGGAAATTCCACGCTCTTGAGCCCGATAACAAAATCGATAACTCAACTCATGTACAGGGTCGCACTGCAACGTACATGCTTTCTTCACGGGGCTTACACCAAACATCTTTGCGGCGGCTATTGCTGAATTGTGCGGGATTTGGAATTTCTGGGTCCCCGGCCTCGAAATGTCCCACCTGGCGGCTGCGGCAGAAGAAGAATTTACAATGCGGGCTTCGTCAAGAATTAAGCATATCAACATGTCGTACACTTTTGCTTGTTTGCCGTGGTCCAGAGATGGAGACTGTCGGGGTTGAAGGCTTGAGGGCTTCAGCTCAAGGCTGTGCCAGGAACCCCCCCCAAAGTATCCTTAGTAGGAATTTCTGATCCAGCCTTACAACGATGAAGCGCCCAACCCCAAAACAGTTGCATACTGTAAGCACCTGAAGAGTGCCTGCATATCATGCCATATGTCTAGGGACCGAGGGGCACTATTGCCGAGTATTCCCAAACCTCCCCAGAAAACGCGATGAATTAAGACCCTAGAGTATGTACAGGGATGTGATTGATATGGGAGTTTCCCAAAATTAGGGGTGTCTTATTTAGGGGTCCTTAGAATAAGGATCCTACTATTTAGGGTGCTATATTAGGGTCTCCTGTTTTCAGAAAGTCCCATACAGCGGCCTTAACTACTTAGGCCCCTATATTACGGCTCCTCGAGCCTTCAGATCAAGAGCCCTAATGTAGGGGCCTTAATAATTAGAGTTGGGTTTTTAGGGGCTCCTTATTTTGATTGTCATGAAATGGTATTTTGGGGGTTCTTTTACACCTCCAGACCCTATTCTAATCTTTTACGACCCTCCTGTATAATCCCCGGCCCCTCTGACCTGGCAGGCGCATGTCAACGCTGTCGCCCCACCCACCCTGCAGGCTGCGTTGGGGTCCTGGGACCAACTGGAGGGCTTTTCGTGGGCTTGTGGGGGGCTGGTTTTTGTGCGTTCTGGATGTTGTTGGATTGGCTATGTTTGAAGGCATACATACATACATACGTACATACATCTACCTACATGTATATACATATACATATATAGTGTATATATATATATATGTATATACATATATATATATATATATGCACACTTGTAAATGTACCACACCTTCTTGCTCTCGATACTTTCCTTATTGATTATTGGTTGGATCGATGCACTTAGAACAGAGCTTGTGGTCTCCCCAAAGCCACAACTAGACCCTGAACCCCAAAATGAAATTTTGACCCTGGGCATCGGACCCAGAGCGCCGCAGCCCAAACGCTAAATCTTATGGAAGAAACTAGGAAGCCGTATAGCAACATCAACAAGCCCGATGAGTCTAGAATCCAGTCCAACAGCAGCCATATGGAACCCCTACAAGGGGCCTCTTCAAAGCCTCTAAACGCCCCCTAAACTGCCCGTCCGCCGCGTGCTCAAGCAGCGCTGTGACCACCTGGGCAGGAGCTTCCGCTTTGGAAGCCTCAGGGGTCTTGACTTTGGGATTTTGATCGAAGTCCGTTTCCCAGACCCCCGGGAGGATCTAGAAAGTAGATCCCTTAATTTGGGGCCCTATACTACTAAGGGTACTTTATAGGAACCCACATTTAGGGATCTACTTTCTAGATCCTCCCGGGGGTCTGGGTTAAGGAGTTCTCAATATTATCAGGCCTGGATAAGGGTTTGTATAGGGAACATAAATAAGTAAAAAAGATGAGAAAGGATGTTCGTTGGCTTTCTGGGGTTTAGGGGGGCGGCTGTGGGGATTTAGGCCTGGGTTTGCTTCGAGGTTATTGCGCCCTCGCGCGCGTTTTCGGGGTGTTTGGGCCTGAGAGTTCAACAGTGGATTTGAGATTTAGACATTCTCTAGGATAGCCAGTAACCTAAGAAGAAAAAGGCCTCTCTGTTTGGTATGGGGTAACTTTACAAGGAACCTAGGAGTACAAAAAGGGAATAAGGGTACTACTGGGCATCCTAGTTCTGGTTTGGCATTGGAGTTAACGAGTGTGGGTTTGTGAGTGTACATGCCCCACACCACCAGGCTACCAAACCCTAAGCCACATCCCACCCCACAAAGCACGATTCCCTTTTCGAACAACTATAACAAAGAAGAGTTCCTTTGCCTGCTTTACAGTGTATTCCGCTCGACCCTGTCCTCTACAACCCTGCAGCCCAAGACAAAGGCCCCACCCTCCCCCAACAAGCAACCACACCAACAACTCAGAAATTCCAAATCCCTAAATCCCAAACCCGGAGCCCGCATCGCTGAACCCCTAAATGCAAAACCCTTACAACATCCCACAACCCCAAACTCCAAAAACCCTAGCAAAGCCGCAACACAAACCTGTACACGCCGTATCTAAACGCCGCTAAACAACCCCAAATCCCTGAACCCTAAACCTTGCAGCCCTCCTGAAGCCATCTCTAGGACCCATATCGAACACATAAAAGCACCAAAAAAGCCGCCCAGTCCGGGTCACTCCTTCGTGCCCAAACTGGGCTGCGACATGCAGGGGCCGAGCCCCAGTGTCTGTACGGCCTCGGTTTTCGGATTTCGGGGTTAAGGGATTCGGGGGGTTGAGAGTTTACGGGTTTAGGGGGGTTGGGATTGCGAGTTCAGGATTCTTTTTGGTTTAGGCTTTGGGGGTTACGGGGTTTTTGATTTTACGGTGTCTCTAAGGCAAACTTCTAGGAGTCTTTAAGGGACTTGTACAGGGCCCTCGTACTGTCACTCAGAGAAGAAACACTGTTAAGGCACGGGGTTTGCGGCGTGGGGAGATTTCAAGTTAGCGTTTAGGTCTTTCTTAGTTGCTGAGTTCATAAGCCCCAAAAAGTGTACACTATTAGTCTATAGTGGGTAGTACTATCCAAAAGAGTGTAAAGTGCATCCTCTCAGCTACTAAGCTTTAGGCTTCAGGGCCTAGGCTCTTAGACTGCAGGGTCGAGGACTTAGGTTTTACGGCTTACCTATAGTCTCCATTGTAGTTCCTATTTTGGTTGAACCAACTATATAATTAGGATCCAAGAAGGTAACCCCAAAAAGGAACTACAATGGAGACTACAGGTAGGGTTGAAGTTTCGCTGGATTTTGAGGTAACCAGGGAGTAAAAAGTAAAGACTCTTATGTCATAATGGTTCCTTTAAGGAACAGGTACCAAACAAGTATTCAAGCATGGTACTCCAAACCCAGGTTAGTGTTCAGATTATGCGGTTCTGCAACGGGATGTATATAGTTTCAATGTCCTCGCAGTGTAGCCGGCGTATTGCAACAGAGTGGTGTCGCAAGAACGAGACAACGAGTTTCCTGAAGCCCCCACCTGTGTCACGTTTGGCTCCGACCTCCAGCAGCATCCGCGCAACAGACTCGTGGCCATTCCTCAGATGGCAGCGAAAATATTGATAGAGATTGAGCCCTGTTACAGGGCCTGAACAACTTCGACGAGGCTTCTTAGGAGCAGTTTGTATTGCAACGCGAAGCGATACAGTGGTAAGGTGACGCTAAGTCGTCGAGGCTTTGGGTGCGGAGAGCCCTAGAAGTCCAGCTACCAAAAATCGCAGGCTACTCTTCCTTATGCTGGATTCTGGGCAGTATCTCTTGCCCATCACCGAGTGACTACAGAGGTAATCGGGCTCTTACCCAAACCCTCCGGGTAAGAATCTAGAAAAATTAGATCCCCCAATTGGGTACTGTTTTTCGGAATCCCCACTAAAGAATCCCCCTTTAGGATCCTCCCGGGGTTCTGTGTAAGGGAGGCTTCAGCTGCACTCTCTGTGGGAGTCTCTGCATCGGATCGGGGACGAAGGGCCTGGCCTGGCCGGGCCCAGAAGCTCCAGTACTACGGTGAAGATGATATAAACCCTGCATTGCCCATAACAAGGAATATACAATATTTCCTATAGTCTAGCGTCATTAAGGAAATGCACGGCTTATATCATCAACCGTACTTGATGAAACGGTCTATACCATGTGCCTGAATTTATCTCAGGGTATGACTAGCTTCTGGATCGTCCGGAATGAGATTGAAGGCCTATAGGCCTATTTTGGGTCTGAAAAGACGAGGGTCTGAGCTGCCACGTACAAGGGTGTGGCTCCATGATCAAGAGCGACTGTGTCCGTATCTGCGCCATATTCTGCCAAGATCTTCACCACTTCCTGATATCCCTTCTGTGCCGCGATATACAGTGGAGTCGCCCCACTGTCGTGTCGCGGCTGTTCGAGTGCAGCGCCTGCGTCCAGTAAGAAGCGCACCACCTCTGCAAAGCCACGCTGGGCTGCAGCGAAGAGAGGAGTCACACCATCCTGTGTCCGAGCCTCATTCCTGAGTCCACGTTGGGACGGAAACACATAATTAAGGACCCTATTTACAGATAATTCCTCTTCCGTAATACTCCAGGACACCATGTGAAGCAAACAAGATCCCAAACGTTGACCAAGACTCGTTGCCGCCCCGAACTCGACCAACACCTCGAGGTTTACTACTGTTCATGAGGGTCTCTTCTAGCATGTAATTGCCTAGCTAGGATCTTTGCAATAGGCCTCCCGGCGCGACATATTATAACTTCTAGGGATTCTAGGGGACCCCTATAGAAACTTCGACGAGCAGGCCGTACATGTCAAGAAACCTCAGTCTTTGGGATGTATAGTGCAGTCCTCACACATCCTCGTAAACAAAAGGCTTGTGGGCAAGAGGTGGAGTTTAGAACAGTCTCCCACCTGCACAACATCGATGTGACCTTTCTGCGCCGCCGCAAGAAGGGGCGAGTCACCGCTGCTTGTTTCAACCTGCAGTGTGTTCTTTCATAAGCGTACTACAACAGCTCGTGTGTGTTGTTTGACTAAGGATCTTTATGAGCTTCATGTAAGTTACCATACTCAGGAAGGCAAAGCTATGTGAGCGTGCTCTGGTCGTTTCGTTCAACCGGTGTAATGTGGGAATGCTTCCACAGAAAAGGCTGTATTGGGGCTCATTCTGTTCTTTCTCTGCAAAGGTTTGTTAAACTCAGCACAACTACAACCTTGAATGAAGGAGAGCAGTATACCTCAAATCAGATGCCCAAGAATCTGCCCTTTCAGGCCCCGAAGCCCGAAAGAGTGCACGTTCAAGGGCTTTTTGCTTCAGGGCTTACCTGTGGCCAAAAAAGCCTACTTTTTGTAAGGTTCCCTTCCTACATAATTATAGTTTCTACATCTAACTCCTTGGAAGAAGGAGACTTTTCGGGCCATAAGTCGAGTTTCTCCGCAAGATCTGACGACTGCGAATGCCAATCTATGCAGCGCCCAAAAAAGTCGATACCCCGACATTCCCAGGTGCCGAACAATTAGTTTCAGGGTCCATGCACTCAAGAATATACGTTGGCCTCAAAGTAGTTATGTAGGGACTACTTTAAGGACAAAGTATATACTATTCAGGTACATGGACCCTGGAAGTACTTGGGGTCCAAGCAGTAGAACCCTGAACACAGCCGTAACCTTCCCCAAAGCTTGCATGGAACCGCATAAACTTATAGTAGACCCTGAAACCGCACGTGTGCTGCCAAAACCCTGACCCCAGAAAAAGCCTCACACAACCATGATATACCTTCCCCAGCCCAAGTAGATGTAACTTGCAAAGTTTACAAGAAAACACTGTCCAAAGGATCAAGCAAGGGTCAAAGATGGGTATTGGAGAGAGAGCCACAAGACGAAAAACCTTGAATCCGAGACTTCCTAAACCCTGGACCCGATCCCTAGAACCTGGATCCAAATCCCAAATCCCCTTAGAACCCCAAAACCCTACAGCCTTCAAAGGAACCCTTAACGGATTCTTTTGAGGGATCCTTTGAAGGAAGCTGGGGCCTTCGGATTGGCACCGGACTGCAGCAAGAGTCGCGCCACTGCCGCCTGAGCAGAGGTCCCGGGCGGCTGCAGCTAAACGCTTCGGGTTTAGGGTGTAAGGTCGAACCCAGAGACTCCAATATCCCTTAATTAAGGAGTATTCCTTAAATCATAGTAGGATCCTTTATATGATTTAAGGAATATTCCTTAATTAAGGGATATTGGAGTCTCTGGGAAGGTTTAGGGTTTAAGGCTGAAGGTGTAGGGTTTAGGAAAAAGAGTTTAGGGTGCAGTAAGGCTTATAGGGTGTGCAGATGGGCCTTCAAAAGGTTCCTACATAGCAAGCTTTGGGTCAACGTGTATTGTATCACGGCATGCCCAGAGTGTACGAGTTTGAGTTGTATGCAGTTTTGTGTTTGTTTCGGGTTTGGGTACACTCCTTGTCTAGGGTTCAAGGGGTCAGGTTGCTTGCTTCGAGATTTCCGTACGAGCCCACTCTACATGCTCATGTACTCCCCCAGATACCACCCTGCATGGCTACTGCCCTAGTTGGGTTAGTTTGCATGACCGTGGGGGGTCTAGGAAATTCAGGCGTTCACGGCTTCAGTGATTCAGGTATTAATTTAGGCTTTGAGGCTTCAGGGTGAAGGGGTTTCGGTGTCATCGGCGTCAAAGAAGAGTTTGGGTGTCGGCCTAGGCAGGCTGAAACATGAGAGAGGGGTAGGGGGGCGTCAAGGAAGGGGCGCTTGAATTTCTGGCCGCATGAAGTTTGTTCAAGTTGTTTGGACAACATTACTCCTCTGCAATAGCAGCTAGCGCCGAAAGTCATTTTCTAGAATCCGTATTTGTGTGTGCAAAAGGTCGCCTGAATCGGTATCCTTGCTTATGGAGCCTCCCATATGGGAGTTTCCGAAAATAGAGGACCCTAATAGAGCACCCTAAACAGTAGGATCCTTCTTATAAGGACCCCAAAATAATGTACCCCTAATTTCCGGAAACTCCCATATCAATTAAGTTCGATACCCTACTTGGAGGATCATGGGACTTAGTTAAGGTTACAAGTACCTTAATTGGGGTTATAAGCATAGTTACCTTACTTATAACCCCAGTTACTAAGTCCCGTGATTCTTTAAGGAGGGGATCAATTAATGAAGATACCCTACTAAGAGGATCATGGGACTTAGTACCTTGGGTTATAAATACGGAAACTATACTTATAACTACTTATAATACGGAGCTTTTGGCCGGTTGAAGCTCGACCGCCCTGCCTTCCACAACTTCTCGTCCGAGAGCTCTGCACTCTAAGTTCCAAAACCCCCGAGCCCTGAACTCTGAACCTAAACTCGGTTTAGGGTTTAGGGGTTTAGGGATTTAGGGGTTTAGGGCCAGAGCCCCGCGAAAACTGCAGTCCTCAAATTACGGGGCTGAGATTGAGAGTTTGGGGTTGCGGAAGAGTGCAGAAACGTGTCCAAAAAAGCAGGGAACCCTTAACCGCAAACCCGTAAACCCCAACCCATCGGAAGGCTCAAGCTGCGCATCCAGGTTTGGCTTCGGGGTCCAGGCCGTAGGGTCTAAGGCTCAAATTGATGGCTGTTATACAGGGCCTTAACGTAATTGGAATAGGGTTGGGTCTCTTTTTATACTTTGATGATAGTAAGGAACCGCCAAAACCGTATTCTTATTATTGAGGCTTACATTGGAGGGGAGCCCAGGAAGGAACAGAGGGACCTCTAGAATGTAGACTGTGGGGTTTTGGGAATAGCATCGTGCAACCATACAAAGCCTCGAACCTGAAACTACCTGCTGTGTTCGGCCACATATTATATATATATATATATACATACTTAGATACACACTACGCAACAAGGCTTCGAGTTACGATCCTGCGTGCAAAGCATGGGAGTATTCAGACGGTAAGGGTGATACAGGTCCGTAGGATTCGGAGGGCATTCCGGGGCACCAGAATCACTACAGCATCAGGTACGGTGTTCAATGGCTCTACAGCATCACATGCCAGTACGAATCTGGTTTCAGCATCAGGTTATGGCATGAGATGCGAAGTTTCACAGTCACTACAACCTATAAGAGAGATGATGAGGGTTTTCAGTGGCACTACAACATCAGATACGGTTTTCAGTGGCACTACAACATCTTCTATGAGTTTCTACAGCATCAGATACAGGTTTTCAATGCCACTACAACATCAGATACGGCTTTGTCTGTGCACTACGGCATCAGATAGCGGCTTGCAGTGGCAGTCTGTACAGCATCAGATACTTGATACGGGTTTTGCCCTGGCCCTGCAGCATCAAACGCGGGTTTTCAGTGGCACTACAGCACCAGATCCGGTTATTGAATAACGCTAACAGCAGGACATCTATTGAAATAGATGCTGTTGCAAGTGCTAAATGTAAGCCAACATGGCCCAATTCAAGTTGTGCTAGCTGCTGGCGCTGTCAAGGCCAATGAACTTGGAATGCAGTGAAAGAAGATTTTGTCCTGCTCCAGCACGGTCGACAGCTCAGCAACGACTTCA